TGCATGATATTTTTCATTTGACTTATGTCCTGGAAGTCATTGCAGGAGGATACGTAAGAATAACTTGACTAAGTATCTAAATTTACTCTTTTATCAAAAGTGTCTACCGCCTGTCACCTATGGCAGCGCTACCAGTGGATTAGACGCAGATAAAAAATAAACCTCTCCCACTCATCCCCCTCTCTCCTTGTCTCTCCAGTACTTCCACTTCCGTGCCACTGAAAACTACCTGCAGCAATGCCCTAAAAAAATGACAAACTGTGGCCAACCAAACCTCAGCACACACACCTCCCCCACATCTCCATATTCCGAAGCCCTCCTGTGCTTCTAAATTGCTGGTGTAAAATGGCCAGGACAGAGGGGTAATAGTTTTTGATAATGATCCAGGGCTAAGCTTTGGTGCTGTGTGGCCACATGCCGCACAGACAGAATGCTGATTATTTCTCTGAAGTGGGCTGGATGTGTGTCGGTAACGGTGATTTCCAGGCCCTGATTGGCAAAGAGCGATGAAATTGGGGGCAGTTAGCACTGAGGGGAAAATAGTGCTGGAGTGTGTGGAAATGCCGCATCCATCCAATGGTAAACAAATTATCTGAAGTGAAATGACAACATTAGGGGATGCAAAGTGCCGGTCCACATTATGAATATGGCTCTGTGCACAGGCTTTAACTACCTGCTTTTTTTCCACCCGACAATTTGAAACAACTGGTCAGTCCTTATCCAAGATCTTTGGCTTTACCTTCCTAAACACAGGGCATTCGATCAAACCCAGCATCAATCTAGTCATAGTCAAACACATCCAGTGAGTGGCCGTGGACATTATCAGTCCGTATACGGTGTTTGCTTTACAAGTGGACAGGCAGGCATAAAGGATTTGAACATTCAGATGAGGAAAACAGATTGATAGTAATACATGGCTCCTCTAATGGGCTTGATGGAGCTTTATGAAATATTCATTATTCGTAACTATTGTTGTAACATTGCCAGCTGCATCTGAGAGATTACATTTTTATATTAATGAAGTTGCCCATGTAACAAAAGCCGAGCTGCTCCGAGGAATACCGCATCATTCCATGTTACAATTTGTGTTAAACCTTGGTGAAAGCAGGTTAGCGAAATTTGAATTCCAGCATCTCAATTCCCATATATTACAGAGAATACCAGGTACCACCCACAGCAGTGCTATGTCAAATATTTGAGGCCTTGTCATTCATGCTGTTCCTTTCCTCTCTGAAGGTAGACATTTGTCCATGGCCTCATGTAATTATCACTTTTCAAAAGACACCGAAGGCAATTCCTGTCATTATAGCTTGACTTTCTAAAATTGTGTAAATAACACATTGACATTTGCAATGGGATTCTATTACTTAAATATATAAAGGTAAATAATAACATAGAGGTATAGAAATGCTGAAAACATCTCTTATGTTTTTTCGTGTTTGTTTGAATTTTAACGGAATTACTAGCAATGAGATCTTTCTCTCTAATAAGCTGAAAGTTGTTGACAGATTTTATGTATGGCGATTGCACAGCCAGACATACCCATTGCATTGAGGGTATGCACTGTACATTATAATCTTATGCTAACAAATGTAATCAGCAGCCCCTTTTACACAGTCTGTTGAAGGCGTGAAAGTTTGACCTTCGCGAACACAGAATTGGGTTTGACAGTGTCACAATATCACAGTGGCAACAAAATGTTCTCCATTCAAATGGAAAACTGCTTTTTTTCTGTACACTTTACTTTGATAAAAAGTTATTGAATACAAAGACGGAATTTACAACACGCCTATAAACCAATCAATGTCAAGTATAGGTACAAGTATAGGTAGACACAGCCTACGTACAGGTGATGATGACAGGTTGTATGTATATGGCATGTCTTCAGTCCACTCCATAAATTACAATGTGAAACTTAAATGGGAATGCATATAAATAATGTAGCAAAGAGACGAACCTTGGTTTGGATCATGGTTCACACATTCAGGTTTGAAAAATTGTATATAAAAGGTAATGTTGGCATGGTGGACCATGTTGAGCCTGTTGTGTTACATATCAGGCCTCTGACAACCCTGGCATGCTATAACCACACACCAGCAATATGGTGCCATCTCTGTATGAAGCATTCTATATGTTTGAAGAATTCCTTCTTATCCTGAAGATGTACTCCTCTATGATCATTGTTAAAATGACATTGTTTTCCATTTGAGCTAGACAGAGACCTGAACCATCATGTTAAAATACAATATGTGGACTGCATGCGTTCAAAAGTCTGCAGTGTTCTTTAAGTAAAAGTGGCTGATTTCAGTAAACAAAGGTGGATAAGCTCTTATGAAAGATTTGCACAGCAGCATACAGTGCCTGAGTTAACAAATCCAAAGAGCTGTAGCAAAACATAATTGCATTATTAATTTTCCCAGACAGTATGTGAAAACAAACAAGGTAGTTAACCTTTTTAACAATCTATTCATATCTCTGGTTTGCCTGATGCTGAGTGATAAAACCCAAGGGACTGTCTTTTGTCTCTAGGGATAGACAAAAGGTGTTTCTGATCTGTGTGCCCACACATTCACAGAACCTGAAGTCGAAGCCCATTTGTCAGCAAACTGTCATGTCTAGTTTTTCCATTTTATTATTTATTTATTCATTCATTTGGACCAAGCTCTTGAGTAAACCCCATTAGGATGCTTAATAAAACGTTGTTAACGTGGATGTGCAGCTCACCGGGCACCTCCACCCATACTCCCTTTCCGATTACTGTCAGTGATAAAGTCTGCAAAACGATGCGCTTGAGTCTTAATTGGGCATTTTGGTTGTGAAAATATTTTTCATGAATAAGTGAAGGGACAGGAGTTGTCTTCACTCCATTGCATGTCATGCCTGGAAGAAAATGAGGTAGATTAGGGAGGGGCACTTTTTTTTTTTTGCCAACACTGTGATGCCCAGTGAAGGATAACTCTGGCAGATGTGACAGAGATTTATTCCGTGTAGAGCCACCTTGATTTAAGCCCCAGCCCTCCAAAACACATCACCTCCATTTCTCCACTGCTGTGTCTCATGAAGACTTAGCCAGGCTTTAAATTGAATGAAGGAGGTCACGTTTTAGCTGCTCGAATGACAAGAAAGAGCTGGTGTCAGTTTAAGGTTATATTCACTGTCACCAAAACAAATGCTCCCTCGGTCACCTTTTGCCACACCTCCCCCTTCCCCCGAATACTCTTGTTGCTGTATACGCAGGCCAAATATGGTGTGTTGTGAAGCTCAGTGAAACAACACCTAAACACACAACCCGAAGCACAACTGAATACATTTACCCGGTGTAAATGATAGACAGAAAATCTCGCTAGCTGCTGTGCAGACTAGTAAAATAGATCCTTTGTGCTCTTGTCAATTTGTGAGACGCTTCTTTGGTAATATTGGGTATTCAGGCAGCAGTGGGCCTGGGGGTGGCTAGAAGCTAGTTAGCATGCTCAACAATTAACCTGGTGGTCAGGTGACACGTGTTTAATAGTAATCATATAAAATAATGTCCAATAGACTCAGCATGTGAATTAGCAGAATCTGTAGGTGAAGCAGAAAATGTCAGCGCATTATCTGGTTTGACCAATCACGTCTGAGCAGGCTTTGGTTGCCAGATAAACAGTCTGTGCGGAGAGCACAACAGACACAACACATTGATTGAAATGCATTGAAATGTTAACAGAGATTAGCCAAAATATCGTCTGCACCTACGACTCTATTTGGACTGTAAACAGTGAACGGTGAACACAAGATGAAATCTTGGCCCAGATATCCACTGTCGAGTGGCAAATTTGTCATCAGACGATAGCAGATGGGCTCAGAGATTGATAATAGTAATACTCTTTCCATTATATATGCTGCTTATCCCTTTGGGGTTGTAAGAGGAGGGCTGTGGCAAATCCAAGCTGACATTTGCAAGATGCGAGGTGCACCCTTGACAGGTCACCAGTGTATCCCAGGTCCAACACATGATTAAAAACCATTCCCACTCACATTCACACCCATGAACAATTTCGGTTTTCCAGTTAACCTAACCCCAAACATGGAGAAAGCCGGAGACACAAGGAGAACATGCAAACTTGAACAGGGAACCTGTAACAACACAACAACATTTAACTACATTTTAAATCATTGGATCTATAGTGCTAACACCAGGCTCTGCTCTCCTTAACCTGATGCCAAGCCTTTTTTTAAATTTTATTACACATGAGGCCCGAAAAGGAGGACAGTGAGGACATAGGCTGGTTATAGGGAGTATGCTACCATGCATCCTGCCAACACAGGGATCCATCTACTGTTAAGTCAATTACAGCATAAACTAAACTGTTTGATCATATCAGTCATGACTGAGCAAATACAAGATTCCCGGCGGTTGCAGTGTTTTCTCCAAAACATGGAAGTGGGCTCCGTTGAGTAGCTGTCCATACATTAGCGTGCTTTATCTGCATACTGACTGGGTATAGCAGAGTACAGATAAGCTCCTCACATGGGAGCACAGTCAGGACTGAACAAAGCTGTCTAGCCTTGTGGGGCAATACATATGGTGAGATAAAGTCTTACTGCAGCAGCAGCAGCCACAATATACATGCACCTTTACAAAGGGCTTGGTTGGCCAGGGAGAAGCTGTTGAGTCTGAAAAGCTCAGTGCAGTATATGTTTTGAAGTGCTCCTGAAGTTGCTTTGGTAAAAGATGCACATTGAAATGAGGCGGTGTACAGGATTGTGTATTTGTGTGTGTGTGTGAGAGAGAAAGAGGTAGGCACGTGTGACACAGAGAGGAGAGTGTTCAAAGCATGAATCATTTGAAAACTTCTTTAACCGGCTTCCCATGACATGAAACTCAATTCAAAGCAGAAAAGTGGCAAAATTCGAATGGCATTTTTAAGTTAAATTAAAATCAGTTTCTTGTATGACAACAGTTTATCCTCCGAATCATACAACAAAGCTAATCGATTACCTTGTTTACAAAAGCATAAGGAATGTCCTGTGAGTATAAAAATGAAGTATCCAGGGAACTGCAGTAGATAACTGCAATTTGAATCAAAGATGTGAAATAAAAGTTCACTTTCATGTTACCTTCCATCTTTGTCCTGCATGTTGTAATTTACTACATGTTATCCTATCATTTTTAAAAAAATAATTAGGATAGAAAACTTGTGGGAGGCTAATTCAGCATAACAGTATTATGCTTCTGTTTCTATGTGCATGTGTTTGTACTACTATACATTGAGATTGGAAGAAAGGATATTTCAATTTTATAATTCAATCAAGCTAAATCTAATTTCACACAAACCTTTCCCTGGGAAAGAACAAACAAACAAATAGGGTCTATCTCACAATATAAAAGAACTTCTCTGACCTCTGCCATTTCTTCCATCAAGTTTTGAGGAAATCTGTTGAGTTGGCAAAGGCACGAGCAAATCTTGTGGAGGACAAGATTAGATGATACTTTATTAGTCCCAGAGAAGGTAGACATGAACTCAGGAGTTCGGGAAACTGTGAACAGAAGTGTCTCAATAAAATGCAAAAGACAGAAAACACATTTTAAACCATTGCTGCAATGTTCGCTTGTAAATCAGACTGTCTGTATGAATTTGTGTGTGTTGGGGCCTTAGTTGACAGGCAGCCTGCCAATGTTTCTAACCTCACATCAGCACCACTCTGTACTCTCCACTCTGATCCCCCCCCCACCATTAACACACCCTCTGCCTCTAATGGAGTACACTGCACACCACTTTCTGCCTGAGCAAGCCGGAGAAGAGTGCAGCTAATAACGGTTGCACAGTTGGAATACATGGGTGTGAACTTGAGCTAATGTATGCCACTAGAGCAGTGTTGGCGGATAAGATTGTGTTATGTGCCGTGGTGTGTACGGGCCCAGCCCATCTGTACAGTGACATCCCTCGGTAATGAACCAAGCTGAGTCGTGACGGCTGTCTCTTAGTTCGCACTTCAGTCCTGGTGCAGCGCTGACACCTCTGATGCATGTGCAGTGGTTTGGTTCTGTATCTTGACGAGTCCAAGAATAGCCCACATTTGTTATCACCCTATAGGGTTCTTTAAACATGCTTTTAACAAGAGGTTAGCATGAGGTGGAAATTAGCATATGGTACTCTCTTCTTTGATCTTGAATGTTTTTGCAAATGCTTGTCCTGATTATATAAAAAAATGTAATGATTTTTATTTAGATCTAACCCTTCGCTTCTTGTTTTCTTTTCCAGGGGCAGAGGCCATGTTTTCCGAGCAGCCACAGGACCTGGTGGTGGTGGCAGGCCAGCCTGTCACGTTACCGTGCACGATCCCTGGTTACCATGGCGTCGTCCTGTGGATCAAAGATGGCCTAGCGCTGGGAGTTGGCAGAGACCTCTCTGGTAGGAAGCAGCATCTATCCCCGTCACCCTGCATTTCTCCATCACTCTCACTTCCCCTCCATTAATTACACTGGGTAATATACAGTAACTGTCATACTCAAATGGCTGCTTTTTGTCATCCAAAGCTCGTTTATGTCAACATCTGACCCTTTGCCAAATACATCACTCCACAGACAGATAAAAGAGGCCTTATCATGGTGTGCTACAGTAGCAGTGTTGTAATTACAACACACAACACAAGAATCAAAAAGTCATTTCTGTCTTTGTGTTTGATGCAGACCAAAAATCCGAATGAAAATGTTAAATCAGTGGTGGCGGTGGTCTTTCTGGTGCTTCAGGCTGCAAAATGACCTATTTGAAGAGTAGCCGGCTTCCTCTAATTACACTGCACCTCGTGTGTAATCGCTTCAATTGTTTAATGTGGAGTGAAAGTGATCACTGCGCTGTCATTTAGGAGCCTGTTGTTCCACCAATCGAGGCTTTATTCCTGACCTTGATGAATTTCAAGGAAACACATCACTCCCCAACATAAACATTTACAACCTCTTTAAGCACTGGGCTATATTGAATAGAGAAATCCATAAAAGTAATGTATGCCCACATCATTTATTGAAATGATCATTAAAATTCTTCCAAAACAGAGACTCATTTGAATCTGTGTGTGTTGTGTACCACACAACAGGATGTATTACTCTGCAGGGGCATGGCCTTTGTTTTAGAGCTTTTTAATTTACCTCAAACACCTTTGAGTCTGTGACCATTGAGAAATCTTATGTAATTGCAATTCAACACACAACAACCAAATATCCAACTGCTGCCTTTTCTTTTAAACACAAAAGTCTGTGATGATCAGAAATTATTAAATATGTATTCCACAAGAGACTGAGGATCTTCTACCCTCTGACCTTTACCAAACACTCTTAGAGGGCTTCCCTGTCACTGATGTGGTCCGTAATTAAACCTCAGTGGCTGACAGAGCCCCAGTAAAGTCATCCTATTCCCTTTTCACGTTCTTATCTGGCCCAGGGGAGGCTGAGAGGTTGCAGTAAACAATGGTCCTGCAGTCTCTGAGTCTCCTTTGGAGCAAGAGGAGGCAGACAGGGAGGAGAGTACTTACTGGTTATAAGAGACAGAGAATGAGAGGAAGGAGGAGGGAGCACCATTTTATTTAGGGTCAGAGTGAAACTGCAAATTCAGACTTCTGTATTTTATTAATTTAACAAGACAAGACAAAGAAATCTAATTTCAACAACGTCAGAGGAAAAGAGGCATAGATAAGAGAGGAGGTTGGATCCCAACACTCAAAGGAAGCTATGGTAGATCAAGCTTTTATAACACGTATGTGAATAGTTTAATAGTGATGGATAGAATGCAGTATAGTCCTGACGTTGCATTTCTCCACAACCAGGCCCAAGATATGAAGCCAAAGAGATCTTTCTCTCTTAAATTGTTTAGAAAACCCACAGGGGTTTTATGAGGAGGAATAGCTGCCTGCCTGGAGAAGATAGGTTGCTCAAATCAACAGCATGATACGGACAGGGGCTGAGTGCCTTCTATTGAGACGGATGACACTTTTTCAAAATAAAAGCGCTCCACAGCTGTCCTTTTTATCACCCTTGCCTACATAAACAAGCAGTGCACGCAGTAGTAAAAAGAGTGGTGGTACATCCACGGTAAGATGTACACAATGAAAGGAAAGTGGCAGCTGTATACATAAAATGTGCAACGAATCAAATGTTGCATGGAGCATTTCAATAATATAGGTCTGCTTGGCTATTCATAGAAAGAAGCTTGCGTCGGCAACGGCATGCTCCGCCGGGGACCTGTTTCAATTCACGGGAGCAGTGATTAAACCAAGAGAACACTTTTACCATTCAGTGCAAGAAATCACAGCACAAAAGCCAATGATTCCTATCTTTCCCTGAATTTCCTATTCACTCCCTTTGTGTTGCGCTTTCCCACTCTAATTAAAGAAAAGTGAAGTGGGCCCACAGCAGCTCGGAACATACCAATCAATGCCATGAATATGCATGACAAAGAATGTTATCTGCCATGCGTGACGATGGCGACAATAGACAGAGCAGCTTTAAGTGAATTCTCCTGGTGCACTCCAAAATGGAGGAAAACGTGTTTGTGAACATTATGCCACATAGGATGTCGGAGAATGAGCTCTTGAGGAGAGAAGCTGACAATTATACGTTAACAGTCTCTCCTCTCATGAGAGCAGATTGAGCACCAGTCACCTGTTCACAGCTGCAGCTAACCTGTTTCTATCCCCTGGTGGTTACACTGTGTGAAACATGTTCTAGGGGAATGTTATAAATCACTAGGCCACGCCTCACAAACATGCACACATGCACATACACCATTGATCCAGCCTCAAGACAAATCCATTCCCCCCTGATGGTTTCATTACTCCTTAATGGGCCTATTTTACATTGTTTGCTTTGGGTAACATATTTTGTCTTTGAGAGTAGCTGAGATCCATGATCGATGGCCCTGTAAAGGCACATATCACATGTGCACAAGCAATCAGTCTTAATGTTTACCAGAATCATTTCAGTCATATTGACAAAATGCATCATCAAGGTGCTCATAAGGTGGCAGAAACATATTACAGTATGTTTACGTTCTCTGAAAATGAGATCATAACATTCTTATCATTTACTATCCACCACTAATGCAGATGACTTCCTTTTTGGATCCGGCTAATGCACGGAGATGAAACTGGAACAGAGCCACGTCCTCATACAGCAAAAAATATTCTTAGACTGCCAGAGGCTCAGATGAGGTAATTGGCCAGATCATCTGTTTGTGTAACAGAAATCAGCATAGTTTATACCTTGCTACAATTTAGACAAGTAACAAAATGTAAGGGCATGTGAATTTAACTCTGTTTCCGGGGTTAGGTATTTTAAAGACTCACTAGGTGGAGTCAAATCAAGGTCACATCACTCAGAACGTGCAATGATCATTACCCTTGCGATCCGCAATAGCATTATTGCTTTGAATCTCATCAATGAACATAAAATTGAAGCAAAATGGTTCTCCTGGTGACCTTGTGGGCATAATGGGGCTTCCTCTATTTAAGCCACTATTTCTGAGCATGAACACATGGAAAGCTCTTTTTGGCTCAATGGTTATTAATATCAATAATGGAAGCTTTTAGTTTTGACCAGCTCCCTTTAACCCTGTTCCATCTACAACCTGTTTCACCAGAGCCCCGCCATAGATCAAGTGTGTGACACATCATAGCGAGGGAATTCAAAGAAAAGGATAGTTTTTTTTTCTGATATAAACTTCATCGTTTCCCCACAATGCACTGGTACAGCTTACATGTTGTCTTTTAGTTAGCTCACTGCTCATTTAGGCTCCCTCACCGTGTCTTCTCCACAGGTGTAATAATGAGGTTTAGTCCTTTGTCCTCTCACCGTGTAAACCCACACGTAGGTGGATGAAATGCAGAGAGTGGCTTAATCGGCTGTTTCTCACCCCACCAGCATAAAATGAGCCCACTTCATGCTCTATTAAAGGCATGTTTTTTTTGCCGTAGACATATTCAAGAAGTTGAAAGCTGTTATATGTCTGCCCAGTTTGTTTTGAGCACTAAAACATATAACCAGCCTATAAAATCTTTACAGTGAAAGACTGGAGTGTTCTCTGAAGTGAACATGAGTCATTGGCTAGCTGTTACTGAGAAATCAATATTTTACTCTCCAACATTTGTTGCCATTGACGCAATGGTTGGATGGGTACTGATGGACTATTTTTTTGGAGAGGAAATGACAAGTGTATGAGTCTAAAGAATTACGTTTTATTTTTTACAAAGCCCAAAGTTAGAGTGCGACTGGCCTTGTTCCGCTGTAAAAATCCTCCAATCTTCTCCACCAGTTTCATCATTGATCCATCACTTAAAGACCACTGGAGGGAAAAGCAATTATTGTCTGGAAATTCTTAGAGTTTTTTTGTTGTTTTTTTTTTAGTGCAATTCTTTACCAAAAGACATTCTCATTTCAGTCCACTGTACTGGATCCCCAATAATTAGAAAGATGGAGTGAGAGAAAGAGAAAAGGGATAATCTGAGACGAGCAATTCCAAACGCATGAGAAATACCCCATAAAGCGCCCCAGTCAAACACATTCTTCTTCTTGCTTATTTGCCCCAGCGGAGAGATGCACTTCACAGCGCACTCGCACTGCATATTTTGATGATAGTTAGGGGGATATTTTCAAAAACATCTCACTTGACTTGTGTAAAACGCCCAGGTCTCCTGGATATTGCTATATTTTCTTGCATTATTAAACTGTAAATCATTTCACAGAGCAACACTGAAACACCTCAAACTTGAGTTTGCTCCTGTTTACTGTTGCAGTAAAATCTTCATTCTTCAGAATGTAGAACCTCCACAGCAGCTCCTTATCGTGGCCAGGTGTCCTATAAAACATGTATGAAAATACATTGTGAGGAAATGAACGAGTGAGCAATCAAAATAAAAAATACATTCACCAAGTCATCTATTATTCTCCAATGAGCTATTTCACTTATCTGATTATGCAGATCAGTTAAACTCAACATGTTTGTGCAATGTAATATGGGCACATGCTTTTTATCAATTAAAAACATGTTTACTGGTTAGAATTAACAACATGATAATAAACTTCATCAATTCAGAATGCTTTTGTGTTTTTGTTCTGTTGTTGCTGAAAGTATTCAAAGCTTTCAAAGCTTGTCTTGCTTTTAACAAAAAAAACAATGAACAAATGTGTGTGCGCTGCAGGCTATCCTCGCTACACGGTGATTGGCGACCATGGTTCAGGAGAGCATCATCTGCGAATCCAGCGGGTCGAGCTGATGGATGACGCTGTGTTTGAGTGCCAGGCCGTCCAGGCGGCCATGAGGTCCCGTCCTGCCCGTCTCACTGTGCTGGGTGAGTCCAAAATAAACACACACACAAATGCCAAACAACACCATTCAGCTGGCAGCAACCACCTCCAGTAACTGTGGTTCAAAAACAACACATGGGGGCAGCTTCACTGCATGTGACACCGGCTTCTCACCCACTCTTCAGTTTTTCAATATTTATTTAATATAACTAGTAAGTACTTATTATTACTAATGAAAACATATTAGTCTTATTACATATGATTGTTATATCTACTCTTTCATAGGAAGAAATGTTACACAATCAACATTCTGCATTAATTTGCCAACACACTGACATGAATGTGCAGGTGTCTAAAGGAGAGCAGGTTAAGTAGTCCACCAGCAGCATATTAAAATATTTTACCCAAATCCATACTTTTGATCAAAGGGCTGGGCGATAACCAATATCAATAATTGTGTATTATTAATGTTACTTAATCAATAGCAATACAGCAAATGTTCAACATATTGACATATTGCTTATACATTGTGCACAGTGAGGATATATAACATATAATTGATTTACATCAGATTTGTAAAATGTTTTTTTGCTGTTTATCGAGTGTTTGTAATTCTTTGCCCTCAGTTCACTCAGGAGACTGATTTGAAGATTTTTATTTGATAACGTTTTGGCTATCTTGTCCAGTCTGATTTGATCTGAAGCACTGGACAGAAGCAGCATCAGAGCTCCAGGGGCTCGAACAAAAAGTGGTGCTTTACAAATCTGTGATTTCCATCCTAGTGCACTTTATTTCTCAGCTTTCTGATGAAATGTTCACAGTAAATCCTGAGACAAGCAAGATGGATTTTGTATTAAAATATTTTTCCATTTGGCAGCCGGTGTCAATATGACTTTTATTTTACAGACCTTAACATTTGCAGCCTCCATTTCCATTATTACTGTAAGCTCGAGAGGTCACAAGCTCTTAATTAAACTTTATTGGGTTATCATTCACCTTTGCCATTTCTGCCCTACTGGTTAACAAGAGTAGAATCGCGTCTCGTTCCCTGGCCCCTTCAAGTCTCCTGCTTCCTCTCGCGAACTTCCCTCACCGGAGGCTTCACTGGAGTCAATGACAGAGTAAAAGAGAATGAGGGAAAAAAGGGTTGCGAGAGGGAGAGAGGGATGTCTGCCGCGCAGTATCCTCGCCACGAGCGACTGATCCGCCTTATTGATCCAGCCTAATGAAAAGTGAAACTAACGATTTGTAGGGGAGAAGGCAGCAGGAGAAAAAAAGAGAGCGGGAGACAATTTGCGGCGTAACATTTCTCTGGCTTTCAAGCTCTCCTGCAAATGGATATGAGGGAATAATTATGGATACTTCTACAGAGAGCTAAAAATGTCTGTTACGACTGCACTTTCCTGCCTTCTGCTACTGTCCATCTTTCTGTACTCGCTCAGATCATTCAGCGTTTAGCTGTTGTGACACGGATCTTTTCACAGAGACCTTGCGATTGGATCACAGCATCAAGTAGAGGAGGGAAAATCATTGTCAATGGATTCGATCAATTCAACTGTGTTCAAGGGCATGTAAGGGCATTTTAGGTTTTAGTATCAATACTGCTAAAGTAGTACACAGAACGCCCATTTCTCTAAATTATTTTAGTATCCATAGGAGTATGACGAGGCCAATTCATTGGAAAACATTCCCATGCAAGCTTCCATACACAGCGGATGCAAATAATTTTTTGTTTTTGTTATAATCCCTTTGTCACTGTGCTTTCGTAATTTGGCAAGCCCCCCACTGACTACTCAAAGTAATTAAAGCAAAAACAAAAAAGCCACAAGCTTGACTTAGGACTGCAAACAATGTACAGCAGCAGGAAGTTCAGTACTTGGCCCCACTGTATTTAAATAAATAAACAGCAATGAGAAAGAGAAAGCCTTTTTGGGGGGACGGATGTATTTTGAGGGGTTTTATCATTCCTCGCAATAAGCCTGAATAGAAGGCGTTTGTTTAATCCCCTGCCGAGCCACAGCTGACTCCAGAATGCACTTCCCAGGTAGAAATCCAGGCTGACTTACACACAATGTAATGGAGGAAATATATGCAAGGCTTGTGTCACTGCAAACACCAAGCTGTCAGTTACTTGCCAGTGGTGACGGAGAGAGTCTATCGACTCGGAAAACAGCTATGGCCCAACACACCTATGCACGCACACACTCAAGGGTGCACACACACACACGCACACAATTACATAGGCATATACACAATAAGTTTACATGCACGCCCACGCCCACCAGTGCATACATACTCACACGTACACCTCCCTCCTCCTAGCTGACAGCAGAATAAATCTAAAACTCGACCCTCCGTCTTTCATACGTCAATATCAGCCAAAACTCCTCCATGTGCCGTATCAGAGGGGCTTCTCTCCTCTTGACTTAGATAGGCCGGGAATAACATAACACAAATCTTTTTCTAACACAGAGAAAAGAAACTTTATTAAAGAATAAAATTAGCATGTTTTCCATTTTCTTTGCTTTTCCTTCTAAGGACTTGGTGAGTTTGTCCTTGAAAGCCAAACAGGTCACGTGACTCAAAGGATGCCGCAGCATTGACTCTGAATACGAGAACATTTTGAAGTAGCCATGAAAATGCCTTTTAATTTTTGTTTTAATATTAAGTTCACTGGTGTTGAAATTAAAAGGAGGAAAACAATGGCCACAGATCGACATTGAGGAACAATAGTGAGATTCCTCCATCAACAAGCTCTGACAACAAAAACTGACAGTGAACTTCAGCCATCTGAGCGTTTACATGGCTCGCAGGCTTAGCCTCAGATGTCAAAGGAGAATCAAGGTCTTGTGAATTAGTCATGAAGGAAGAGAATGGAGGGTTTCAGGTCCAAAAAATACCCCTGAGGCTAATTATATCCCCCGCAGCAAGTTGGAACTGCTCCAGACCTTTGCTCTAATCTTCTACCTTAGGTTTGGGACCACTAGAACAAAGGGAATGGAGGTCGTCGTTTTTCCATAAAGGTCTTTGGCTATAAAAAAAAAAAATAGGAAAAAAAACGTAACTACTCCAAGTTGTTCTATATTTGTATTGATATAAGGGATCTTGTTCATTTGTTTTTAACTTAAGAAAAAGTGTCACAAACTAGCATAGCATGCAAAGTGCATACTTCTGAAAAGGTCCAATTGGTTCCCCTAATGAAACCATATATAATCCAGTAGATCCTGATTTTCATTTGGATCTGCACCCAATTCCACATATCTCATAAATATCAGTCCTCTAAACATGTCATATTTTCTGAGTAAGATCTAAGAATTATTATCTTAAAAATATGTTGAAAAAAGTCCTATCTCACGATGTTACCTCCACCAAAATCAATGGTTTCCTCCCTATCATTCCCAATCCCCCCACTAAATGAGTAGTATTTGCAGTAGTCTGCTAACAAAAACCACAAACAAGCATAATCTCCATGGTGAAGGTAAATGTAGCACAATTTATTGACTCATTCCTGTCACTTCAACAAATCAGTGTTCGTCTTGGATCTTTTTTTCACGCTCTTATTCTTTATCTTTGTCTTCTCTTTAAGTCACTCAATGATTTCTACGTAATGCAGAGGCATGGATTTCTTTGATGACTACATTTTCTTCATTTACTGTGTTAAAAGGATACACAATACATTTGCAAAGTATTACAGAGAGACTTTGTGCGCCAATGTAATCTCTCTTGATTGAAGCTTAGAATTGCCTATCAGGTTTTTAGCAAAGATAAACACGGTAACAAAGTAGTCAATATGATTTCTTTCTTTTACACACATTTTTTTAGAAAAATAAATGCTGGCTGAAGTGTTGCCATCCTTGTGTAATAAATGCATGATTTCACAAAAACTGACCTTCAGTTTAATTTAAGACTCAAAATTTAGGGATTATTCATGTTTTGTTTTTTTACTTCAAGGACAAGCAAGGGTGTTTAGCATGGCTTAGTCTCAGATACATTTTTGACACGTTTTCTAAATTTACTCTCTTCTGCTCAAGCTCTGCTCGGCACAGGGTCATGAGGGTCACACACATACGGACTGTGATCAGGCAGAAGTTGTGAAACGCTTTCAGAGGTTAATCTTACTCAAAGCAAATAACAAGAGGTTACAAAGCTTGACTTTTCATCAGGAGAAAATATTTCCCTTTACTGAAAACACGTGTGTGAAGCAAACGCAGTGTGAAGTGTTGTTTGAGCCCACAAGAGGAGTTTTTCTCTGTCCCCTTTATAAACGCTATTTCTCCTAGGGGATGACAGACTTTCCAGCACAGCATTGTGTTAGCTTCATATTTGACCCCATAATTTTTCAACCAATACCTCGTACCCTCCATTATTGTAATGAGTTGTACATGCAGTTGTTGCAGGGGGGTGAAATTTCAGAAACCCTCCACGAGATCTTTCAAAATGACAGGCAGTTCATAAATAGAGTGTGATGCTAGTTCTCAAACAAACGTTTTTGACGGATCATTGTGTGCAAGCTAGTTGTTTTCCTTTCCTGCATTGTTAATGTTTTGGACCTGTGCTTCAGCGACAATATTCATGTACTCAAAAGCCCAAGGGTATCTTTTGTTAATGTTGCTTCCAATTGCCAACGCTGAATAAGCCATTTCTGTGGATAAGTCTGAATTCATTGTTTTTCAAGGATCATGCTGCCATTCTTTTAATAATGGAAGTGAACTTTGAGGGCAGAGAGAAAAAAAAAGAAAGAATCTCCTCAGGAATTAGAAGTTTTCATGCTGAGAACATGAGAGAAACTTTTCCACAGAGTCCATGACTGTGTATTTTATCAAAACCACAATCCGTGGCATTCACTCTGCTCTGAGAGCGTGTGAGCTCTTTCACTCCTAATTTAACCAGTGATGCTGTTCACAGCGAGTGGGAACTGCTGACTAATGATGGGTCTGTAATAAAAGACATAGTTTGCAAGTGTTGTCCTGAGTATGTAACAACAAATGCAGTTTGTTGGAGCTTCTTGGGGAAAAATATCCCAGTAAATCAATGACATGCAGTG